CTGTAGTCCTATAGCTCTCCTAACATGCCACCGAAATACCATCAGTAATAGGGACAAAGATGGAGGCACACGTCGCATAAACGCTGAAACAGCAGCCTGCAGCTCAGCACTGAGTGGAGGTGCTGTACTAAAGAGCTACTTGTCACAGCTCCTGTGTGAAATAGGTGCCAATGATGACATTAGGGACATCTCTGAGTGCGGGAGCACCGAGAGCCCCGTAATTGCACTTGGCTCATTCAGGGCACATTAGCCAAGGCTCTTGTTTGCTACCAGATTCACTCCTGCTGTCCGACTCTGGTTTTTTATTTGTTGGCAGCTCCACTGAGCAGGGAGTGGCTGGGTGGGTGGCTATTGCTGTTAAACATCAGCACATTGAATTTTGGTGACCATTTGGAAATATCAGAGTTATACAAGCTAAATGACTCTTTGATCTCCATGAAATTACTAGTCTTCTCAGTGGGTCTTACGGTATAATTTTTTTCTTTCTTCCCCCATTTATTCATTTTCTCAGCAAGTTTATTTCCTTGAGATTTGTGCAATGTGTGGTTTAAACTGTAAAAGACTCTTCTAGGCCCACAGAAGAAATGCAAAATGCGATCTCTGATTTCCAGGGGTTGATTTGGGATTGGAGAACAGGGTGACTAGCTCTTTTGATGTTTATTGTTTACTGAACAGGAGAAATATCTGTAGAGAAAAGCAAAGTGCTGGTCTTGGTTCTATGCAAACATATAGAAGGCAGATGATCCCTCTACAGGAGTTTGCTGCTGATGACAATGTTTTCAGAGGTGAGATTTCACTACCCCTCACATTGGAATTACCTAAGTCCTTGTTCTTTTTTTTTGTACCAGGGATCAAACTTGGGTCCTTGCACTTGCTGGAACCACTGAGCAAAATGCCTGGCCCCTGGGTCCTTATTTATGCTGACATCTGGGCCCCAACTCAGATCTGCACAATCAGAATTTTTAAAAGTAAAACCCTCAAATCTTAATTTGGCTAAATAGCACCTGTTTGATTCTTAAACATACAAAAATTTCATGATAACTAATCACATGAAAGGGACAGACAGGTAAGCCCAGATGCCTACACATAGTTAATATTGTATTGAATAATTTTATTGAAATATTCTATTGAGTAATCATTGAAGGATTGGGATTTCTCTGGCAGCAGAAGGTGCACGTAGCCCTTCGCGGCCTCCTCCCATCTGTCTTAATTGAGATTAACAGATACTCAAAGGGAGAGGGGAAGGGGAAGAGAGAATTATGGAAGCCATGGGAAGTTGCCTCAGCTGTTCAGACGGTGCCTTCCCAGAGATGCACACGTCTGAAATGACTCTGTCACACTCCTTGCCCCACCTCACTTTTCTTCAAAGTCCTTATCATCCTGTCCCTGTGATTTTGTCTCCTTCATCTACTAGAGTAGAACTTGTGAGCAGCCTTTTCACTTCTGGTCACCGCTTCCCCAGTGCTGGGCACATAGCTAGGGCTCTTAAAATTAGGAGGGCAGGAGTCCAAAAGGCCCCATCTTTCAGCTGTTGAGGTTACAAATGGTCCTTGACTTAGATGATTCACCTTTCCATTTGTCCCGTTCTATGATGGTATGAAAGCAATACCCATTTGTTAGAAACTGTATATTGAATTCTAATCTTTTCCTAGGCTAGGGATATATGATATGATGCTCTCTCACAATTCTGGTCAGCAGCAAGAGCAAGCCACTCTGCCAGTGAACCACATGGGCACAAGGGGAAGCAGCCAGTACTTTACATTGCACTGTATAGCTAAGATAATCACGTTCAGTGGGCTGAGTACTAAATGCATTTTCAACTTATGATTTTTTTCCATTTGATGATGGATTTATTTTATTGGGACACAACCCCATCATAAATCAAAGACCATCTGTACATACATTGCTCTAAGAAGCTCCAAGACTCCCAGGGATTTTGTGGCCTTTTCCTCCCTTTCTTGGCAGAGGAGAACCAGGGAGGGGACACAAGAAGTGATGACCTCCGTCTCCAGCCTCCTTCCCACAGAGGCGGTTCTGTGTGCAACTCTTCCCCTAGAGGCCTGCAGAGGCTTCCAGATGCGAATCATGGGGAGCCTCAGAGCCTGGTAGTTTGTGGTGAGGTTTTCAGGAACCTTAGGAAGCTATTTCAGGAATTGAGAAGGGAACATTGGGGATTTGAGGGTGAACCAGTTGAGGAAGGCCAGCAACAGCTTTGGGGAGGCAAGGTCAGGGCTGAGGAGTCTGTGGGATCCTTTGAAGCCCTTCAGCTGGGAGGATGAGCCCGCAGTGGGATGACTTGCTCAACAGTTCAATTTTTCTGAAAGCATTTTCACGAAATGCTCTGCATCATAGGTTAATGTATAAGACTCGAGCTGTAAGTGGAAAGTTGGCAAAGTCCTTTGGAAATTGGCTAAAGGGCAGGAAACAAATGGTAGCAGTAAAAACCTAAAAGGATGTTAATTGAGGAGTGCCTCAGGGAATGGGGTTGCTACTAGCTTTTTATTATTTACATAAAAATTGCGTGGAGAATGGTATTGAAAGGGATTTTCAGTTAGCTAATGAAACTGCATTAGTACACTGTGAGTGGAAATGTGAATAGAATTAGGGAAGGATTCCATTTGTTGATGGAATTGGAGAATAACATTTTCTAACATGCTTGTATGTATGAACTCATGCTGTCGCCGTTCTTTTTGACTAGATGTCCATTTGAGTACTGGGCTTCAGTGACTCATCCTGTCATATTTCTTGGGTCTTGTAGAAAGGATATCAAAGAGAATTTGTTCCCCTGATCTCCGGGCAGATCTTGAAAATGAATGGATGTTATCTCCAACCCGACACCATCTCTGTTAGAGCTAGAAAGCAAATGGAATCTCCCATTTAACTACAAGTAGAAGATTGGACCACCCGACATCCATGTCTCCCCATTTTGTCTTCCATTACTAAATATTTGTAATTCAGTGGAGCTCAAATTATCACAGAAATTGGCTTTAGATATGCACCCCAATATTAAACCATCTCTCCTAAGTAAAGTTATTGCATACTGGAAATAACAGTGAGCCAGGACATAAAGTTGAAAGCCAGGATTGCATTTATTGCCCTTTCTCTTTGGAACATAGCCTTCTTTATGGTACAGTCTATATGGCATCAGCGTCCACACAACCCTCAATTTCCTTATCTACAAACCCGGCCTAGTAGGAATCTTCTTTACTACTCCAAGTGTGGTCCATGGACCTTGCATGCAGCCTTGGCATCATCTGGGAGATCTGCAGATTCTTTGAGCCCCACCCCAGAAGAATTTGAATCTGCAAGTTAACAGAATGCCGGCTGATTACTTTGAGAAGCATTGCTTTTCATCCTGCATCAATAGAAAATAAAGGGGGTGGGGGTCACTTAATGTCTTGAGGGTATAGTTCTGGCACTTGGGACATTCTGTCTGCTGAAAACCTAAGTTCTCTTCCTGGTTTGTTTTATTGTTTTGTTTCCTCTATGCCTTCTCCGGAGTGTAAGCTTAGACCTCAGTGAGCATGTTGGTTGAGAAGATGTTAAAAGCCCGGGCGGTGTATACACCCAGCGCTTTTCTCAGTGGTGTGGGCCCTTAGCTAATTGTTTCCATCTGGCCTGGAGGTCGCAGAGGCCTGCCAGCTGGTAACTGTATTTCCTTTGAGCTCCTTTACTAAGCTTCCACAAGTAGACATTTTGTTTTCTACCTCCATTAACATAGAGGACCAACACAGGGCATCGCTATCCTGGGCAAACTTTTCTAAAACGAGAGGCTTGGTTTTCAGATGCCTGGATTCAGTAGGCCTTTTAGAATTCTAGGTCTCTAGATCTGACTCTGTGATGGGACACACAAGGCAGCAGTTTATGCTATGTCCTCTTTCCTCTCCCCACTGAAACCTATGGCTTTCAGTCAGTCTTGCTTACTGAAAATAGGAGCTCTGTCGGCAAACCTATGGTGTGTGTGCCACAGTGGGCTGTTATCACTAAAAGCTCTGAAAGGGCTGCTATCACTGGGAGGAATGGGGGTGGGGGTGGAAAGACATTGATTAATCTGACCTGCTTTTGTTCTCAGTTCATGAAGTAGGGTAGGCAGGGGCTGATTCTGCCTGAATAGGAAAGAATAGCAGTGAAATCCCAAACTCCACTCCTCTGTACCCCTGACAACCTCACCAAAGTGGGGTGAACACAGAGTTGTGACCCAACCCCAAATTAGGTTTGATTTGTAGTATTACTAGTTTGCTAGGGCTGCTCAGTTTTTTTAAAGAGCTTATGTAGATGCTGAAATACTCAAGTCATTCAAGAAAGCAGAAGTGAGGAATGCCTTAGTTTGTCCAGACAAGGATGCATTTTGGAGATTCCAACTGAGCATGTTTCTCTTCTACCAACCTGGATTGGGACTCATCAAACCCAAGTATAGTGTCAGAACCCTATTCTCACTAGGGAAGAGTCTGGCCCCTGTTGCCTCAGAGCAAGTTAGGCAAGAAAGCTTTCAAATGAGTGCATTAAATATAGAATGTCTGCTTAGTCCTAGACTTACCAAGCATTTACTAAAGATTCTAAATTGGCTTTATCTCCACTACAAACTAAGAACTCCTCAGAAGCAAGGAAATTATTATTTATCTTTTATTTATAGCACCTGACACAAGGTAGGCCCTTAATGTTTTCTGAGTGAATATGCAAAGACCAGTAAGCAAGGCCCTTGCTGATGTTCTGAGTAGCACAATAGCCACTTGTTAGCCATCATTTGAGCATTACATTTTCAGTTAATTTTTTTTCTCATCAATTATTAAACCCACTTCTTTGATTCATTCACAGTTGTGTATTGGGTCCATGTGTTTATACAATGTGTTTCTGAAAGTTACTACCCTTGATCATAAAGCTTGCTATATAATCAAGTACCTTACTTCTGAAAACCTCCAGAATCAGAAGTCAATTTTTTAGGGACAAAAAAAATTTTGTGCTCCCAATTTCTTAAGTAATTGTATTCCTATTCTTTTCAGGTAAGAGTCTATGATCTCTCCAAATATGAGCATGGAGCAGATGATGTGCTGATCTTGGCCACTGATGGACTTTGGGATGTCCTATCAAATGAAGAAGTAGCAGAAGCAATTACTCAGTTTCTTCCTAACTGTGATCCAGATGGTCCTCACAGGTTTGTAAATTTCTACAACTAAGGGGTTGGTCCTGAAGCAGTGTTGCATGATATAACTGAGACAAGTGGCACTCGTTAAATTCATGGTTTACAGTAGAGGCTGGTGTGATAGTTCATCAATCACACGGCAGAAAGGAATACATATTTTTGCCTATAAAAGTCCTTCAATTGAGCCAGGGTTCATGTAGTAAATAATTTGATTTGTTAGTTAATTTAGAAGCATATCTTTCTCACGGTCCTATTTCATATTCTGTAGTATTTGTCTTGCTGATAAGAATGACAAATCCTTCTAAGCATTGATTTCCATCCAGTGGAAAATTGGAAAGGAGAAAGATTAAAATAGGTTTTCCTTTGTAATATAATAGCAGCGTAAGAATATTAACTCTAGAAGACTCTCAAAATTAAATTCAAATCACCTCTGTAGAAAGGCAGCTTTAACTAGAACATAAACAAGTTACTGTGCATAGAAACCAGCAGAAATAGCTAAGACAGCAGTTGAATCTGTAATATTTCCTTACTGGATTTAGCAAATTAACATGTTTTATAAATTTTTAATCAGTATTGAAAACATGGGCGGCAAGGGTAAGAGACTACAAAATGACCAAGCTCTTTTTTTTTTTTTTTTTGGGTACCAGGGATCAAACTCAGGACCTTGCGTTTGAGGCAGGTGGTGGAACCACTGAGCTAAATCCCTGGGTCCTAACCAAGCATATTTTTAAGATAAGGAAATGAAACTTCTAGTGATGAAAAATATAAAAATAGGAATTTTAACAGGAATTTAAAATTCAGTGAGTTAAACACATTAGAGACAGTTAAAGAGAACGTTAGTGAACTAGAAAATTGATCTGAATAAATAATGCAAACATGGCTCAGAAAGAAGAGATAATGTAAAGTGAGACTAACAGACTAAGCTGATGATCTAAGATGTTCTACATAGAAATTCAGAAGGAAATCATACAGGAGATAGGAGAAAAAAAATTTGGATTCTTTATTAATATTAAATCTAAGATCTAGAAAGCCCAAAAAATCTTAGCCAGATGGAATAAAAAAGAAAATTGGAAATAGGTATTTCTTAATAAAACTGAAGAACTTAAGCCCTACTTCCACAAAAAGATATTAAAGATAGCCTGGAAGAAAAGATAACATAGATACATAGGAATATCATTTAGAATCTGACAGCTGGCTTTTCAAAAGCAGAAGTAGGAGCCAAAAGACAATGGAATTATATTTTCAATTGACTAAGAAAAAAATAGGTGCTAACATGGAAGTTTTTCATATGTAATTAAATTACCAATAAACAAGATGAGGTAAAGAGATGTGCAACAGCTGAGGATGTGGTCCAGTGGTGGAGTGCTTGCCTAGCTTATGTAAGACCCTGGATTCAATCCCCAGTATCACGCCCCCCCCAAAAAAAAAGTTTTCAGACAAAACGAAAATTGAGAAATTTTACTTCAGTCCTGTCTCTTCTGAAGAAAATTCTAAAGGATATGCTTACATAAGAAAGGCAAAAGATCCCATGGAAGATCTGAGAAGATAATTAAGCTGAAGTATTAGTAAATATGTGAGCATATGTAAATATACATTGTGTAAAATGGTAAAAAAAAGAATATTTAACATTGGGTTTAAAAATGATAAAACTAGGGTCGGGGATTTAGCTCAGCAGTCTGGTGGCCTGCCTTGCAAGCGCAAGGACCTAAGTTTAATCCCCAGTACCAAAAAAAAAAAAAATGATAAAACCAAATTATTGAGCAAAAGTAGCTTACAAATTACCCAAGAAGGATAGGAATCAGCTATGTACTTTGGTTGTTTTTGAGAAATGGTAAAAGATATTTAACTTTAGATCTTAAACAAATTTAATGGCTAAGTAAACTATAAAAAAAATAGAAAGTATAATTTGCAAACTAATAGAGGAGAAGAAACCCACATACAATAAAAGCCAAGCTTCTGAACAACCTGTAAATAAAGAGGAAAAATTAATTCAGTAATAGCATCTAAGAAGTTAAACAGTTGAAAGGAATGGAAAAAAATATAGAAAAACAAGTGAATAAATACACAATGAGGACAAATTATAAAGCCAAAATTTGATTCTTTAAAAGTACTAACACATTATAAAACTATGTCAAAATTCTCACTTGTATAAATGAAGTAAGGTCACAAAAGAACAAATGTTGTACAGTTCCACTTACACAAGGTCCTAGAGTAGTCAAGTTCATAGAGAAAGACAATAAAATGGGGGCTTAATGTTCCATAGGTACTATTGGAAAAGGTGAGAAAATACTGGAGGTGGGTGGAGGTGATAGTTGCACAATATGAGTGTACTTAATGCCATAGAAACATGCACTTTAAATATAAATTTAAAATAGTATGGTACATTTTATCTTATGTGTGTTTTATCATAGTGCAAAAAATTTTTAAAGCAATAAAAATGAAGTACATAAATGTTCTGGAAGATAAAAGCAGAAAACAATATAAATACAAAACAGTTAATAAATTACATGGAGCAATCAAAATACGAACATATTTTGAAATATACTATGAAAATTATATTTCTTTAATTAGAACATTATAAAGATTCATGCTGGTTATGGTGACACATAACTTAGGATCACAAGTTTCAAGCTACGTAGCAAGTTCAAGACCAGCCTGGGCAACATAGTGAGACCCTATCTCAAACAAACTGCAGATACTGATTCACCCCCAAATCCTAGAGGAGTTCTCATGGAACTTGGCAAACTGATTGTAATTTCATGTGAAAGAACAAGGTATGAAGAAAGTCTGTAGCATTCAGTAGAGAAGTACAGGTCTTGCTCTACTAGATATTAAGATTAAGGCAGAATAACTAAGACAGTAGAAAAAATTTAAATTCTTTACCTCATAAAATAAACCAAAATCAAATCCAGGTAAAGTAAGACAAATGTAAAAGGCAAAAATAGAAATTTTAGAAAAGAGCATAGGAAATGTCTTACTATTTTGGAATGAGGGATTTCTTAATCAAGACACAATAGAATTATTTATTTATTTATTTATTTATTTATTTATTTATGGATTGGATTTCATTCAGGTTTATATAATAATTTATATTTATTTATTTATTTATTTATTTATGGTACTGGGGATTGAACTCAGTTCTTTGCACTTGCAAGGCAGGCCACCGCTGAGCTACACAATAGAATTTTTTAGATTGATAAATTAGACTACATTGTAATTTCAAACTTTTGTTCTTCAGTGGACAGTATAAAGACATTAAAATGGCAATCCATAAACTTGGAGAAAATATTTGCAATTTGTGTAACTGAAGAGAGATAAGCATTCTGTATAAAGGACTCTTGTGATCGATAAAACAAATCAGTAAAGAAACAATTAGGGTACCAGGTAGCCCTTGTGTAAAAGAAGAGAAATGGCCAATAAATATAGGGAAAAAAATACTCAGCCTCAATAATCAAGAGAAATATTTTTTAACTTGTTGAAATATGTTTATGCACTAGATTGACATTTTTAAAATTCAGTAATAATAACAAGGATGTTCAGAAACTACAGATGACTGTGTGAATTTTTAGAAACACTTCACGCAGCAAGGCATGCCCAGTAGGGATGAACAGATGTAGGTGCTATACCCCAGCAGCTCCACTCTGAGCTCTGTAACCTCGAATAGGTAAAAGTGGAGTGCTCAGTCCACATGGCATCAGCAACACCTGGGAACTTGGCAGAAATGGAAATTCTCTGCTGCCTGCTCACAAGTGCAAAGTCCCAAGTTCGATCCCCAGGACAAAAAAAGAAAGAAAGAAAGAAATGGAAATTCTCATTCTGCATGCCATACCCCAGCTGCACAACAACCAAATCAAAACTTCAGTGGTAGGATCAGCAACCCGTGTGTTTACAAACCATCCAAGTGACTGCGATGCTGCTGAAGTTGAGACCCTGCATCAGTTATACACAAAGATATCCAAAGGATTGTTTTTATTACAAAAACCAGTTACATAACGAGTCATAAGATAAATAACAAGAAGAACAAAAAATAGAATGCAGGCCCCAAAAAGAACAAACTAAAGCTGTGCTATTAAAAGTGCAGTATCTCAGGCCGGGGATTTAGCTCAGTGGTTCTTCTGCCTGCCTCGCAAGCACAAGTTCCCAAGTTTGATCCCCGGTACCAAAAAAACAAAAAAACAAAGTGAAGTATCTGAAAAAAAAAAAAAGTAATAGATGATGAGACTATGAAACTGTCTACATGAAATGAAAACTACGTACCATACATCATTTAGGGATATAGATACTAAACTATGACAACTGGACCTGGACAAATTTCAAGTCCATGCTTATCTTGAGAGGTAGCAGGGACAGGGGTTATGTACCAGAGGAAGGACCCACTTGGGTTCTAAGACCATTACTGCTCCTTTAGCTAGATGATAGGTACCCAGCTCATGTTAGTTTTAAAGTATGCAAGTTATAAAACATCCATTTGTATGTAAAAGATAAGAGGGAGTGTAGTCCAGGGGTTAGGGGCATAGAATGTGTCATCGGATTTCCTGAGTTCAAGTTTTCTCTTTTTCTTCTAGCTTTGATGACCTTGGGAAAATTTCTTAACTCCTCAGGGCCAGTATTTCCTCCTGTGTGGAAAAAGGATCCCCAGTACTAACCTTGCATGTTACCATTATCTGAAGTGCCTGATACAGAGTAGCACTAATAGAAGTGTTTATATTGTTCTTGATTTCATATATTTCACAAAAGCAGTAACAACAGATCTTTCAGGAAAAAATATGCTGCTAAACTGTTTCTCTCCACCTAGAATTACTAGGTGTAATTTTGCTCAGGTGCAGAGGGATTGATGGCACTGTAATTAAAGATTATTTTACTTGAATCTTAATGGTTCTTTCTCTTCTCAAATTTGTAGTTTTAATCTGTGGTATGTATACTACTTGTTAACAACAATTTCATGTTGATTTTCTGTACTGTGATTATTTTTATAAAGCATTGCAAAGCCAGCTGCCAGTTATAAGTTCAAA